GCGCGGCCGCTTTTGCTAGCCATGATGCTGAGGCAGCTGCAGGAGGAGTCGCCTCCCTTCCTCTCCATCAGTAATGGTGGCCAGCTGGAGCTCTGTGCTTTGCCCCCTCTACCCATGGGGGTGTAAAGACCTGCATGTTGGGGGGGAGGAGGCATGAAGGAGGAGGGAGAGTGTGGGTCACCAACAGCCGCTCCTTCTTTATGCACTGTGGTAGCAGCCAGTCTTCCCTGGGGGAGGAAGGGCAAGCCTTCTCTGGGGAATATTGGCTTGAGGTCTAAGAGGTGTTGGGTGAGGGTGCACTGGGGTCATGGGGCAAGAGGGTGTTGGCATGGGCTATCGGGCTCAGAAGTTAAAAGGGCAAAGGACATAGGGTGTAGGGGTGGGGGTTAAAGGGGAGCAGGAGGTTGGGTTGGGGCTAGGCGGTTAGGCAGTATTGTATTTGCATATTCATTATTTGCATAATGAATATGCAAATACAAAAATGTTACCGGTCCGCCAAAGGTTTATGAATTGCTTTGCCAGTCCCCGGCAAAAGAAAGGTTGGGAACCACTGATCTAGATCATCCTAATGTCCAACTTAAATCTCCCTTGCTGTAATTCAGGCCCATTGCTTCTGGTCCTATCATCAGAGCTCAAGGAGAACATTCTCTCCTCCTTCTCACGCCTTGCTCACAAAACTCCTGTGAATGTATCCCGCAATCATGTTTGCTTTTTTTTGCAACAGTGTGAAATTTTTGGCTCATATTTAGTTTGTGGTCCACTATGACCCCTAGATCTTTCTGCAGTACTCTCTGGTTCTGTATATGTGACACGGATTGTTCCTTCCTAAGTGGAGTACTTTACATTTGTCTTTATTAAACTTCATCCTATTTACCTCAGACCATTTCTCCAGTTTGTCCAGATCATTTTGAATTATGACCTTGTCTTCCAAAGCACTTGTAAGCCCCTCTATGGATAGCAGAGATACTGAGCTCAGACACCAGCAGCTGGGGCTTTATGAAAAATACAGCAAGAGTTGGCAAAGCTGAACACGACCTGTCCATTTGTGGCTTACCTGCGGTATTCCTCTCTGGCAGTGGTTCTTAGGCAGGAGGGATGTGTGTGGGGGGAGGGTCTCTGTGTGCTGCTGCCTGCAGGCACTGCTCCCCCAATGTTCCCATTGCCCACAGGGGTGCTCAGGGATGAGCAGTCTGTAAAGACATCTTGCCTCTCCCCCCAGGCTGCAGAAAGGAGTGAGCAGGCAGGAAGCCACTCTAGCCCCACTACACTGCCCAGGGATGGCAGGTGGGACTAAGGAAGAGACTAAGCCCCAAATTTTGCTGGACCAGGACTCTTGGACCAGGAATATTCCTGGTGCCTGGGCCTCATGGATCCGTATAACTCACTGCCCCCTCTTCTGTATCTATATTGAGCTCTCCCAAGCAATTTTGGGATGAAGAATATAGCTACATTAGAGATTACAAATAGCTATGTAGCATAGTCCTGAAGTATAGATACGGTCTGTGCCATCAGAGGTTTTTCTGTCAGGATAGACCACCATCTCCCTGAACAAAGTTAGCCACATCAATAGAAGCCTTCCTTTGTCAATATGGTTGCAACTACTGGGTTTTTGTTGAAATAGAGGTGTTTTTTCACACCTCTGACCTATCTTTACCAATGTAATTTCTCAGTGTAGTCCAAGACACAATGTAGGGATGTAATAGAATAGTTGATTAATGATAAGCAAAAGCTTATAGATGAATGCTATAGACTACACACATTTCCCTCCAGTACATTTTTTTAGCAGGTTGGCCAGCAGCCTGACTTAGTCCTGGCTCATGCTGAGTCTGGGACCTAACCCCGCTGTGGCTCTGCATTTAAAGTGTATTAGGAGCCTCGTAAGCAGGCAGCTTGGCTCGTGCCAAGTCCACCCCCCCCTCCAGGCCAGGGGCTGCTGCTGCCATCCTATGTAGCTGCCTCTTTATCAGAGGCACGGCACAGGGCAATAGCCAGTCGATGAGGGGAGCTGGTTTTTAAACTGACTCCCCTTGTGGACCAGCTCTCGCCTGGCTCCCCACATTCTTGCCTCTGATACATAGGCAGTAACACAGAATGGCACGGGGCTCCTCAGGAGTAGCTAATAACTGTTTTTCAAAGAGGAGTGAATTTCCCAGTAATTAAGTAGAACTAAGAAAATCTTATGCTAAATGTCAGGGAATGTTTTCCAGCAGTAAAATATCAGTCTGTATGGTAATTTCCCCAGGGTTATGGTATTTCCTCACTGAACCCAGGACTAGACAGCAATCTTACAACAGTATAACTATACTGCTTAGGATGTGAAAAATCCACACCTCTGAGTGACACAATCATACTGACTTAACCCCTAATGTAGTCAGCATAGCTACTGCATCTGAAAGAAGTGGGATACACTGACCAGAGAAGCATAGTACACTTATCAATGAAGTGCTACAGCAGTGCAGCTACTCTGCTGCTGTTTTTATGTATAGACCTGCTCTGAGAGAGAGAAGACTGGACAAAGTAATGACAGATAAAATAATCCTGCAGTGACAAGATGTTGCAGTAAATGAGCTAATACTTTTTCCTCCATCTCTTAATTTCAATGATTCTGTGAAGTTTAAAAAACTTTACTGATACTTACTTTTAAGATATCACAGGAAGTCCAGGATCTTTAGCATTTTGCTTACATGCAGTGAGAACCCAATGACCTCTGAGTAATCTCAGGGCAATTTTTATGCTTAGGGGAAGGTGATAATACTTTACCCTCATTATCAGCCTCAAGTGATGGGTCCTAAGTGAATCAAATGTTAACGTTTAACATACTGCTCTTTGTATGAAGAATAAACTCTGAATACTTTCAGAATATTTATCAATTTCTAACAGAATTTGAAAGCTTTTAAGAATACGTAATATTTTCCAAACAGTTCTCTTAAGAATTGTGCATATTCCTCTGATACAGTTCCTTTCTTAATTAATGCAGATGGGAGAGGGAGAGGGGACAGCTTAATAGTCCAAAGTGTTCCTTCAGCTTCCATTAGTTTACTTAGCATACACACCATGCTAAAATGAGAGCTTCTATAACCATAGGACTTTTCTGAAATGTTTAGTGTTAATGACATGAGGTACACAACTGTATACTGTGATACATGTGTTGGTTACCAGCTTGGTTAATTAAAGACTGATATTTGATTTTCCTTAGGTATTTCCTGTAATAGCAGATCTCCCTCAGAGATCTTGGGCCTTTACCATAGGGATTATTATTCCTGTTTTACAGATGGGTCAGTTGAGGCACAGAGAGGTTAAATGAGGATCATGCCAGAAGGCAGTGACAGCTTAAAATGAAATGTCTGTCTTCTAACTACTATGAGAGACTGGTGTTTCTGTTATATATTTATACTTCATACCTTTGATCCCACTTTCTTTTGAATCTCCTTTGGAAGAAAATTTTAACTTTTCAGTAAAACGAAGTTGATTTTGCTGATAGTTTAAGCACAATTTAGAGAGAGAGAATGTATGTATGTATGTATATATTAAAAAAATAAAAGTTAGGTCCTTTTCCATGAGGGAGTCATTTACACTTTGTCTAATGATAAGCTAGCAAAATACAAGTGACCCTTTTTAATTATAGAATCTGCTTCTGTGCCATTATGTCAATGAATACGCATAAACTAGCATTATATGAGTCCAGATTTTAATGTTAATTCTGATTAGGTTATCTATTTTCTTGCAAAGTGTTTGCATTATTGAAGGCAAGTGTTTTTTCCCCTTCTTAAAAATAATTGGAATTTTTATTACAGAGACTATGAAAACATAGCTTCTGGCTTATTGCAAGATCACTATCTTGATTCATCTTGGAGAACAGATAATGGCCTTGTAAGTAATATATAGGAAATAAAGGATTTTTGATTTGTTTTAAATTAATGGTACATCTTTTCAAAAATTTATATTTCTTCCCTAGCCACTTGAATGCATGAATGCAGTGTTTCTCAAACTGTGGGTCCCGACCCCCCGGGAGGTCACGAGCAAGTTAGAGGGGGGTTGCGAACACCTTAGAGGGGGCTCGCTAGCAACTGAGACGGGGGTCGCGGTATCACAAGTTTGAGAACCCCTACATTAATGTATTTATCTTTTGTTAAAAAAATCAAGCTGTGCTTCGTTTTGTTTTAGAGGAAGTATTAAATATTTGCGTGTCAAAGAAAATAATTGAAAAATATCTGTCATTTCCAGCCATGGACACTGGATAGCAACATTAGTGAAGAGAACAGGGCCGTCATTGAGAAGATGTTGCTAGAAGAAGAGTATCCTTTTATCAAATTGCTTATATGTCTGTTCCTTTCCTAGGGCAAAATAAAATTCTGTTTCAGTAGAAAGTAGCTACACAGTGGTTTCTTTTTAAAGAGATTGGTGTTTACTGAACTTGACCATGAAGCACTGTGGTCTAGCAATTAGAACATGGAAGTATGAGAGAGGACACTTGCTCAGTCCTTTGCTTAGCCACTCTACAACCTTCAGCTTCTTCAGGCTTTGGCTAGTCTCATAGGGTATGTCTATACTGCAGTAAAATATGTGCTATACCAAGTTTCAGAGTCTATGTCAATTGACTCAGGCTCTTGTGGGGATAAAAATAGCGATGTGGATGTTCTGATTCAAGAAGGAGCCTGTGTCCAGAGGCCCACCCTTTCATGAGTTTCAGAGCCCAAGCTCCAGCTCTGGTGGTAACATTCTACAGCCTCTCTACGAGTTACAAATGAGTTACGGACCAAACACTTGGCCGTAACTCGATCCGTTGGTAACTCGGACCCCATTGAGTTACCCGTGACCGCACTGTTCGTAAGCGCAGGTCGCGTTTGTAACTCGGGGACCGCCTTTACGACCGCTCCATGGGAGCTTTGGTCGTAAGTGCGAACGGTTGTAACTCGACCGTTCGCAACTCGGGGAGCGGCTGTACACTGTTATCTTTGCTAGGGATATTAGCGTATAGTCATTTAAATGTTTAACTAATAAACTTGGGCTTATCTGTTAATCCTATCATTACAGACACTCCCCCTCCCATCCCAGGCTGCCTCTGATAGGCTCCCGTGGAGTTGCCTGCCCTTGTGCTGCTGCCTCTTTATTAAAGATAGCAGGTGGGGTGGGAGGCAGGCAGGAGCCAGTGCTTGGGAGCTGTCTAAAAATTCAAGCAGTTACACTTTTACACAAAAACACTCTAGTTAACATCCCTAATCTTTAACCCCTCAGTCCAAGCTTCATGAGTCTGAGTCAATTGACTTGGGCCCCTAGACTTGGTTCCACAGGTTTACCTTTTCAGTGTAGGCATTCTCTTAGCCTTTTTATTCCCTTCTTTGAAATGCAGATGTTGAACAAAACCATTCCCAGAACTGACCCTAGGGGCACTCTGCTTGATATCAGCTGCTTACTAGACATCAAGCTGTTGAGCCCGAAAATCTAGCCAGCCTTCTATCCACCTTATAGTGCATTCATCCAAGTCATACTTCTTTAAGTTACTGGCAAGGATACTGTGGGAGACCATCACAAAAGCTTTGCTAAAGATAAGGTATATCACATCCTCCTTTTTTCCCATATCCACAGAGCTAGTTAGCTCATCATAAACAGCAATTAGGTTGATCAGTCATGACTTACCCTTGGTGAATCCTGATCAGCTTCCTTTTCTCCAAGTATTTCAAAATGTATTCCTTGAGTACTTGTGTCCTGATTTTCTAATATTTCATGTGGGTGTTGTGAGTATAATGAGTACTTATAAAGCATATAAAGTACTTTTCATTTCTCTGATAAGAAAAAGTATAGAACTGAGAAGTATTTTACTTCAACGGAATTTTCATGGACTGTACTGCTTGGAATCGTAACATGCATAAAGCTCAGGTGCCCCAAAATTCATGAGTCTCCTGATTTTTTTCACTTAACATTCACTCATGTGTTTGGTTATAAACAGTATCCAGTAGAGAACTATTTTAACGCCACGTCTGAGAAAACTTCCATGTTTCTTAATAATAAGAGAGCTCCTAATATTGCTGAGATATTTAATCCAAGTTAGCTGGTTGGGTGATCATAAAATAACAAATGTGAGTTACCTCTGTTTTCCTTTGAAGCAAAATACTTGACAGGGGAACAACAAAGTATCAGTACAGAATGTTTTTACCAAGGGAATAAAGGCAGTCCTTGAGTTACGTGGATCCGACTTACGTTAATCCCTACATATGAACGGGGCTTTTCTCGCCCCAGAGTACACGGGCGGCGGGACCGCCCAGACGTGCCACGGTCCCGCTGCCCACGTCCTCCGCGGCGAGAAAAGCTGCTCCGCGTCTCCCTGGTCTGCTGGGGCGGTCCCCCAGCAGACCAAGGAGATGCGGAACAAAGCCACGGAGGACCCGGGTGGCGGGACCGCGGCACGTCTCAGCGGTCCCGCTGCCCACGTCCTCT